ATCTTTATTTTTTCACCATATTCAAAATACCGAATGAAGTTCTTTGGAGAATTTTGTTTATTATCTGCAAAATTCTTCGCAGATAACAAACGCACTAACTCTTATGACAATTTTTAAAAAAAAAGCCAGTTGTTTCAACTCAGTCTAAAACCTTCATTCTCTTTGTTATTAGTTTTTGATATATATAAATAATTTATTTGTAATATAAACATCTACAGGAAATATACTGATAGCACACGTTCATTTTTCATTGCATCTTGTTGTCTTAAAGAGTCATAAACTGAATAAACAGTTTTTCTAAGTAGAACTTAACATGGTAGTTCTAGTTTTACTTTCTGTTTCTTAGCACTGTTAAATGTTAAAATGTTAAAAAAAAAAGATCTTTTTTCTCTAACAGCAGCATGAAAAGTAAATTCAAACGTACCAAATAGTTTCATATGTGGTTCTATGCCCGGTTTGCTTGTAGTTTTCTTGCTATAAACACAACGTTGAATTATGTATTGTATTTGTATATTTATTTAGTTATCAATAACTACTATTTACAAATTTAACAAGATTGCGCACAATAAAAACAGTTCATGGCAGAGAATTTGTTTAAAATGTATATGCTAGTTAATGACAGAGAGAAGCAGACAAGTACCTCTCCTTTCTTACAACATTTGCAATTTTAGTTACGCCAACTAAAATACGTGAATAAATTGTTCTATCTAAGTCTACATTTAAAACGTTTGAGCAATGGTGCGTTTACCGTAATAGTTAACCAAGATTTAATCGGGTTTTAACTACTCGATAGTGAAGAATTTACGTACTTCATAGTGTTTCAGTATTTTTGGCGTCTAATTTAAAAGTGTAGCTTCTTGTTCTTAAACTATACTTAGATCCTCGATTTGTGGCGCCACAAAATTTATTGAATCAATTCCATTAATTATTTTGTATTGGTCAAAACGCATGCGACGAGTTTTGAGGGTAGTCAAATTAAGCCGCGTTAAATGTTTCTCGTATTTTAGATGATTTATTAACTTCATCCAATTTGTGGTTCGATGCTGAACTTTTTTCAACGGTTTTTATATCTCCAATGCAATGAAAAGAGCAAGCTAAGACATCAAACTCTAATAAGGGTCAAATATAAGTAGTATACAGGAAGCGCCAAAGAGTTAAACCACGACTTCTAAATCCTTTTTTAAATTTTCCTAGAACTTTCTAGTTGAAGTTGCGTGCTCAGCGGGTACTTCCCTTTTAGTTATTGGATACTATAACCCCCAAATAGCACTCTTTTTTTGTGGTTTCGAGTTGTTTGTTATGACCATTTTGTGATTCTATTGTATATAAATAGTATGGTTGATTATTTTTTTTTTTTTGACCATGCGCATAACTTGACATTTTTTAATGTTAAATGGCATAAGCTATTTTTTAGAAAAGTTAACGGCCGTGTCTAGATCTTTTGAAGACATAGTGATACTTTATCAGACTTGATAACACTTATGAGCTTGCTGTCGTCTGCGTAAATCTTTATATGACTCAAAGTTAATTCCGGAAAATCGTTAATGTAGAGCACGTAAAAAGGAGCGGTCCTAAAACTAAACCCTGGTACTATGCCAATTTTATTTCTTTTTTTATGCCAACTTTATTTTAATTTTTTATCCAGTTATGTAATTGATCGCGAATGCCATAAATCTTTAGTTTATATAAAAGTCTTTCGTGCGGTATCTTTTCGAATGGTTTTGAAAAGTGTGTATTATTAACTTCTCCCCAAAGTATTGATTGATAGCATCTGTAGCAATATCCCATGATTCTAACAGGTTTTTTGTGCACCCACTGTGTTTGATGAAGCCATGTTTAGCTGGTCAAATAAGATTTTTTTTGAGACAATGCTGCATAATATAATTGTGAATTAAACCATCTAACAACTTACAAGGTTTTGAAAACTGGCTGGTAGTTGCTTGCCTTTAACTTACTTTATTTTTTGAATAGAGGTGTTACTTCTATCTTTCTCTATTGATCTGGAACAAAAGTTAAAATAGAAGTTAAATAAAATGTTTAAAGAAGAAAAAAAAAAGATTCCGCCTAATTTTTCAAGGCACTGAGATGGATTCCATCAGAACTTGTTACTTTTATTTTCTTTTAATACTTGTTGGTTGTACCGGCTGGGATAGTTGAGGTTGATTTAGCGTTTGCTCTTGTTGGGATGTACTTTGAGCAACGATACTTGTTGTCGTTTTTGATTATGAGGCATAGGTAATAGCGTCTGCAACATTCTTGATGTTGACAAAGACTGATCATTAGTGAGTAGCTGACTATTGTGCGTTAATTGGCTTAACACAGTTAAGGGCGTCAATGGATAACGAATCAAAATGGCGAGTCAAGCAGTTTTAATTTTGCAAGTTCATCAATTTGCTATTTTTTTTTTTTGCTATTAATTTGTTAAATTCATGCTGCTATGCCTCCGAACCTCTAACTCTCACGATAGGTAAGGTATCAACACAGAGCAGCCGTGGCGCAGTGGTTTGAGTTCTGGCTCAGAACTCAGAGGTCCGAGGTTCGATGCCAGCTCTAGCCCAACAAGCGACAAACTGGATAAGTGCGCTTCAAGAACTTGTTAACATTGGCATAAATGCAAAAAGTCAGCTCGCATTTTCTTTAATATCTGAAGTTTTATTTGGCGCACTTATGCCAATTCGCACTTATGTTAATATTTGCACATTTTTTCGGCGCACTTATGTCAGTTCGCGCTAATGAAATTCGCGCTTATTCAGCCTCCCGTTTTAAACGTCTTCTAAAGTTTCTAAGATGTTTTAAAAAAGTTTAACAGACATTTAGAACGTAATTTAAAAAAAAAATGCTGGTAGGAAATATATTTTTGGAGAATACTTTTTTTTTAAATGACCCATTTTAATGAAATCCAAATACTAACCTGCTTCTAGATTTTGTAAAATAAAATTTTTTATATTCGATTACTACACTGTAACAGAGCATTGAGTTCCAAAATGATCTTTGTTAAACTGTATACTCGTTTTAACGTTTAAAAGAAACAGCGGAATGGCAGAGTTATTAGTTTTATCTTTACTTTGTATGATTTTACTTTGATAGGATCATCGTCTATTGGAAAAGATGTTAAAGATACTTTTATTGTTTATTTTTTTTTGCAAAGACTGCAGACATCAAATAACTGCTTTAATAAAAATCCACGTAATCTGTTAGTTATCAGGTTTCACCCTATGTATTGTTACATTATGGAATGTTTCCTCGAATTTGACAAGCTTCATTACCAACTGGCCAATGATTTATGCAAATTATTGTATTTGGACTATCTTGAATATTTTTCTTGGAGTACTTTTTTTAAAAAACGTTCATGAAATTCTTGAACTTAGATATTTTAGTATTGTAACTAGAGTAGTTGGTAAAAAGAATAACGCACAATTAAATGAAAAGAATGACTTACCATTTGATTGAAAGATTGAAGTACCATAAGATTAAAAGCATGAAGATCCATTAGATTAAAAGAATGAAGTACCATTAGATTAAAAGAATGAAGTACCATTAGATTAAAAGAATGAAGTACCATTAGATTAAAAGAATGAAGTAACATTAGATTAAAAGAATGAAGAACCATTAGATTAAAAGATTGAAGTACCATTAGATTAAAAGAATGAAGTACCATAAGATTAAAAGAATGTCTTAAAAGAAAATTGAAATATTTGTGTAGTAATATAAAAGTATCAAAATCTAACTGAACTATTACAAATACCCTTAAAAAAGAAGTTATAAAGCACACTTTTTGCAAAATCTTGTGATATATTTTGTGATGATTTTATGTTAATTGCAGTGCTAATTGTGATTAAAACTTGTTTATTGTGACAAAAATTGTTTATTCAAAAACTTGTTGCTTATTGTGACAAAACTTGTCACATAAAACAGGCTTATCAACTAACATATTCTCTCAAAAAAATGCAAGCCTGTCTCTTTTAATCGCACGAGGATTATTTTTGTCAGCTTTTGAAAATGGCGTGGATGGGTTTTAAAAATGGTGTACACCAGTGTTTGTATTTCTAAGAAAAACTATTTATACTTAATGATAAAATATCGCATCAACAGGAAGCTTAGTGATGTATATCAAATGTTTTTGTATAAAGATTGATAATGATGATTGCAATTAAGCACCCTGTTTCTTAAACCACTATTAATTAATTTAGTAATCTTGATAACAAAAGAGGACAACTTAATTTTATCAACAATGTGTATTACAAAAGAGGACAACTTCAACAATGTGTGCTACAAAAGAGGACATCTTCAACAAAATGTGCCACAAATACAAAAAAATCATTGCAAAGCTTACGTGCTTAAAAAATTTTCATAATGATGAACACATGTTAAAATAAACATTAAATTTACATAATTATGTTATTTCATCCTGCTATTTACATATGAGGGGAATACTCAGTGGAAAATCACAAAATCAAGTGACTCGCTAGAAACTTGTCTGATAGTGGGTTTCTGATGGCGGCTACAAACACCCTCATTAAAAATTTTCCAATTTATAAAAATTTAATTGTGACAGACTTAATGGTAACGGCTTCTTAAAGTTACGTTTTTTTGATGTACTTTTGATAAATAACCTTAAGACGCAGTGTTTTATTAACTATAATTCTTTTTGTATATGCTTGACAGAAAACTTTTTTTCCATTTGCTGTTGGCAAAACGGCTTTGGAAAATTTGCTACATTTAACTTTAAAAGTAACGAAGTGTTGCTTCATAATCAGGAGATATTTGTGTTCAACGTTGGAAGACGTAGGATGAAAAAACATATACTGAACTAAAACAATTTCAAGGACTATGAAGGTATGGAGTGATTCAAAATCTCTCCGTAAAGTTCACAAAAGCCCGAGTTTTTTTAAGTTAGCTATTTATATTAAAAAAATACACAATTTTATAAAATATCAAAAAAATAAAAAATAACTAAAATTCAATAAAAATAAATAAACAGCCAGAGAGAAAATATTTCTAAACTCATGACATTAAACTTATTTAATTTTCATAAAAACTTATTTAATTGCATCAATCGTTTTTAAAATAACGATTTTAAATAAAGGTTTAAAAAAAATTATCACTTTCTTATTAGTCCGGATTCTAAATTAAGGTCGTCTTTTTCATTGTCTGTAGAAAATCTATCAAAAGAGGCGAAATCATAGTAATTTTTTCTCTCATTTATGTCAAAACTGAAGTAGTTATTTTCCTGACCAATAATATCATCAAAATGCTCTCGTAACTCTGTAAATGTTGGACGCAGTAACGGGTTTTCATTCCAACACTTTTGCATTAAATCATACCTAAAGAAAGTAAAAAGCTATAAAAAGTAAAAAAATATCGTTTATAACTTGTTTTTTCAAATTTTCAAAAAAAAAATTTTACTTTTTAAAACTGAAAAGTATTTTTGTGCGCGTTACCCTTTTTCCAATGTTTCTATGCTGCGTGTACATTATTAACGTGTTGTTACGTTTATAAATGTACACGGAGCAGAGAAACATACATAGAAACATCTAAGATATCTTGCAACACATGTTCAGAATTTTCTTTCTTATTGTTAGAAAACTTTTCCGCATTCCAAAATCGTAAAAAACAAATTTTTACACAGGGGCTGTTAAAGAAGTCATATATTTTAGGGGAAAGCTAAGGAATTTTTTTTTGTTCAAGATATGTAACTATAAAAGAGGAATGTGACTAAAATTTCTGATTTGTTGATTATATAGATTGATTTTACCTCTCCTGAAGTCAAATTTTTTTTTATATTCGTTTATAAATTAGATAAAAATTTGTCAACATATTACAAATCTCTTCAAAAAGTTTCCAATCATTTAAAACTTTATGACCATGGTAAGTTTAAAATTCCTCCTCATTTACCCCCAAAAAATCATTAAATAGTCGTAACTTTTAAATAATTTTTATTTATAAAATTTGAAATCTGTTTTTAATTTTATTAGTATAAAAGAAATAACACACAAATATCGTAATAAATGAATTTAAGAGCTTGTTTGGTAACCTAACCTAAAGAAATTCATATTTATTTAATGATTAGTATTTGTAATTTATGGGAGTTATGCGTCACACTTGCTCAATTTTACTGATATTTTATTATTTTCACACTCTGGTTATAGAACGATTGACAAAGTAACTTTAAGAAATCCATGCCCTCCATTTACAGAGACATCCTTTCCGACAGAGACCCCGAGTTGCTTGCCAATAGTGCTCAAATCTTTGATAGAATTAGACAGAGCTTTTCCTAACGAATATAAAAAAAAAATTGACTTTAGGAGAGGTAAGATCAATCTATATAATCAATATACCAAAAATTTCCAGAAATACCAGTCATATTCCTCTTAGTTATTTATCTGCAAAATTTGCAGATTTGACACATTTTGCAGATTCGACACATTTTCAGCACCTTAATTAACAGGTTTTCCCGATACATCATAACCAAATTGACCAATATTTTTTTCATTATTAATTCGCGCCCATTTTCACATTTAAAACTCCGGCATTCAGGTCTATATTTTATAGTAAATTTATGGTACTAAACTATATATTCTAATTTTATAATACGGTCATAGTTAAATAAGGGTCAGTCCCAACAAGTATTTTTCTGCGTTTCGAGCAAAGCATGGTAGGAAGGTCTGGGTTATTGTTTGCATAATTTTTCAAGAATATAGCTCACTTTTAACAAGAGAAAAATATCAAACTGTTTTTTTTCATTAGGAAATATCACTAACTTTTTTTAGCAAAAAATGACTTGATCGCAGTCAAAATTGTATGTCAAGTTTATTCACTCAAGTTCAATTAAATTCTCGAGTCAAAAACCAAGTCAGAAGTTGATATTCTCGAGTCAAGTCTAACAAAAACCAGGTCAAACAAAGTCAGTTCAATTCAATTCTCGAGTCAAGTCTAACAAATACTAAAAAAGTCTCAAGTTGATAAGATTTAAGTAGTAAAGACTTATAATGTATTTTTAATCAAAATTTCATCTTATTTAACTATTATTTTATGTTTTCATGTAAATGGGTAAATTAAGCTAATCTACAAAATATCTTGCTAAAAAGCTATCAGACATCAAAACCTGATTAATTATTATTAAAATGTATAATGCAGTATTATACCTCCGTGACTGAAATGCCACTGGAGCACTTGAAGCAAGCACTGCCAAGACTCTAAAGCTACACAGTGAAAGAAAAGTCTCTATGTGCTTGCCCAGAACAAAAGAACACCATTTTCTTTGTATGATGGTTTGAGGTAGTTTTTAATACAATTTTACCTTTATTTTTAACTCTGTTCTTTTTAAATTCTATTTACAATTTTTATACATAAACAAAACTTTTCGAGGGCGTAATTATATACAAAAATAGCTTATGACTAGCAATAATAAATTACACCAACTAACTTAATAATATTATGACAAAAATAGTCATAACAATAAAATTTCATAACAATCAACCATTGCCTCCCCAAGAACTAAAGTTCTTAAGTTACATTTAAATCTAAAGTTAAACTTAAATGTCGACTTTCTCATTTCCTTGGTTGACCATCTGATCAATAAAAATAAATTATTAACTATTTCTCTAGTATCAGTTTCCTCCTCAGCGTCACCAACTGTTACTTTGATTTGACAGCAAAAATATTTAAATCTTGAATTCTATTTCATCATTGCCAACCTCTTCATTGATAATAATTTTAACTTAAAGCATTTGTAAAATTTGAGGCAAGAGCTATTCTCACATTTTGCACATGTGTTGGTACACCGTCAATTTCAATGTTTATATTTGTTATATATGTCAGTTACAGTACCAATTTTCCAGCAGGGCAAATATAAACATTTTCTCCCATTCTATAAGTTTCCATAACTCGTTCTGATCTTTCATAAGTTTCAGTGTTTTTCTCCTCATGAATTGATAGATGCCAGACGTACTTATTTTTTTGAGAAGCTGGCGCATATTCCTCTTGTTTTCCCGTCGTTGAATTGTACTTAAATACCGCTAGTAACGGAATATTTGTGGCCTCTCAGCTGTTCGTTTTATTGTGCGGTGGTTACGCTCCGCAATCCCATTTTTTAATGGTCAATACCTGCCAACTTGATTAAAAATCCATATATTTATAATATATATGGATTTTATATATTTATGTGTAATTGGCCGTACATTGAATTATAGGATGTCTTGCGGGACCATATTATAAACAACATAAATTTACTATACATCTTTTTTGTCTGCTAAATACATTGTATACTATAATATTATTAGATTTCGCTTTTCAAGAATTAAGTTGCTTTTTCTATAACTCTCAATATTAAACATGCCAGCCTTTTACTAAGCCATCAGTTGTGTAAACAAGCGTGGAAAGAATGTTGGAAATAATATATCTTTTTTTAGATCTCCAAAGGATAAAAATAAGTAAGTAATTAATAATCAAATCAAATTTATTAAATAACTAGTACATCAAGAATTTAAAGAAGCTTTTAAAATACTGTTTTACTTTAAATTTTAGAAACAAAAAATATTTATACATAATATGATGTAAATAATTCCACTAAATTAATTAGGTTTAACTTATTATTTAGATGCAAGCTTTGGGTTCGTAATTGTCGTCGTCAAGATCTCGATACAAAATCATGTGAAGAACTTAATCTTAACTATACTATTTTTAGTGAACATTTTGATTCTTTCCAATATAATCTTGCCAATAATGGTAGTAAAAGAGCACTTGTAACTGCTGTACCAACAATTTTTAACTTTCCAAATCAACCTTCTACGTTAAATTTAAAGAGAAAACAGCCTACAAACAAACTTCATTTACAAGATAAAATACAAAAAAAGAAACCAACGTTAAAGTCGAATTAAATAAAATAAATATTGTTAAGAATAGTATTGCAAATAATGTAACTGTCAAAACTACTTTTAAAAATAAGTATTTATCATCTAAAGTTAAGATTTGTCGACTTAAAAAAAACTTAAAAACCTGAAGATAAAGCATGATATGTTAAAAAAATGCGATGGTTCAATAGAACATATCATTAATTTGTCTAAAAAATATTTAACAAACACTCAACTTCAATTTTTTGAAAGTCAATTACGTATGAATAATCGTGTCAAACAAGGAAAGCATTGGGTTGTTGAAGATAAATTTTTAGCTTTGAGAATCATGTATCACAGTCCACAAGCATTCAAAATGTTTAAAAAAGTTTTTTTAGTAATAAATTTTTAGTAGTCAAGTTTCTATTGTTTTGACTGAATTTTCAGTTTTGCTTCTGCAAAACTGAAAATGTTTTTTGTCTTTTTTATTAAAAATATGGATATTTTATTTAATTAAAATAAAACTTCTATTATGGATGTAACTCTTTGAAATTAATTTTCATACAATATTTCAAGGGATTATAGATACCCTCGTTGTCAAGTATATAGATATATATAAAAAACAGTTAAAAACAAAATAAAAACAAAAACAAATCAATGCAATAGTTTCTTTTCATTTATATACGGAAACATAGGTTTCCAAAAGGAAGTTGTGACATAACCTCCGTCATCCTGATTTAGACCGCCGTCCGAAGGTGAGCATTCATGGCGTTGTTTTTCGAGGGCACTCACTTTTTTGTTAAAATTATTAACTTCTACTTTTAAAGTAATTTTATTGTTCTATGAAAAATTGACATGATAATTTTTTGAATGATCTGCTATGGCTGAATAATCCCATTTTCCTTCGTATGTATTTTTTTTGATGTTGGTAAATGCAAGATGAGATTTTAAATTTTGTTTCACCGATAAAACATTTTTTTGCAGGAGCATTCAACTTTGTATACACCTGGGTAAGAATTTATAGGAAGAGAAAGTTTATTTTTTGTGGTAAGTATGTATGTTGTAAATTTTTTGGAGATTTAAAGACTGGTGTATAAACCTGCTTTTTTGAAAACTTTTTTTAACTTCGGGCTAATTCCTGGAATCCACGGTAAATGAATATTTTATTTGACATATTGAACTCTCATAAACTAAAAGCAGATAAATCTACACGCTCTGCTTAGTAGTAGTTTTATACAAAAGCTTGAAGATTTAAGAGTTTGGATTAAGGGTTGGCATTTTTCTGGTGCTCGCAGCCAAAAAAGTATATCCAGTCATTGGGGTTTAGATGTCACTATTTCTAATATTCTTTGTCTTGCAAACGAGTTGCTTAATGAGGATTCTTTTTATGTTTGCACAGCTCAAATTAATCAGGACTGTTTAGAAAATTTTTTTGCATTAATACGAAGCAAAGGAGACTGGAACGACAGACAAACAGCAATGCAGTTTAAATCAGCATATAAAAATGTCTTAGTACTCCTTTCAATAGAATAATCTCAAATTATTTTAATTTATAAAAGAAAAGTTTTTTTATGGGAAGCCCTTTGATAAGAATAATGCAAAGTTATTAATATTTCACTAAGAGTTGTATTGTTTATGATTACTTGGTCTAGCAAGACATCCCACAATGCTTTGCGGCTAAAATTACTTATATTTATCTGGAGTTATTGGTCTATATGCACATCTATACATCTTTTATACACACCATTCCTCACGTATTATTTCCAATTGACTTACTACACTTACCTTGTGGTATCTTCGCGAGGCGAATTTCTCCAAACTGCAAACCCACTTGGTTCACAGTCAATCATTGATAAATGAGGCAACCCTTTGTAGTGAGTCACATTACAAGCAATGCGAATCCATGTATCTGGTACATCTAGCACTCCATGTTTCCAATTTATTGGTGCTGGAACAATTGAATTACTTTGACAACATTTGCGCACACATTCTTTAATTTCTTTTCTCTGTTGCACTGCAAACAATGTTCGATTAATGCCAGAATGATGCTTTGAGTGACAATTATGAATTTCTTCTGCAATATTTACTCCACATAGCTCTTTAGTATTTCTTCGTGAAAGACCTGTGTTCTGACCAGATTTAACTTCAATTCATTATTGTAAATTAGCTTTGGAATGCTTTAAAAATAATAATGTGAAATTTGTGCCTAAAACAGAAAATCCTCCAAACTGGATTTTTTTTTTAATATTTGATCTTCTTCTATTATTGTATTAAAGTTATTATTTGGTTGGAAATAAAAATTGAAGAGTACTTTTTTTTAGTTGTTTTTCTACTTTCACATTTATTTTGTGTACACGCTTTACCTCTCTCTCTCTCTCTCTCTCTCTCTCTCTCTCTCTCTCTCTCTCTCTCTCTCTTATATATATATATATATATATATATATATATATATATATATATATATATATATATATATATATATATATATATATACTAATCACTTTAGAAACCATTTTATTATATATATCACTTTCATATACAGTAGCGTCCAAAAGTTTGCAGACAGGCAAAAAAATAAAGAATTTCAATTATATTTCAGCACATACTTTACTAAAGCCAACATATTATATACCAATTAAAAGGTTTTCAAATTTACAATTAGGTTTTGAACAAATAATTATTATCTAAATAATATTTTTAAATTGGTATACAAATCAACGGTCTTTGAAAAGTTCAAATATTTGGGGACAAAGTATTATTTTTTAAAATAGTTAAAATATTTCAACAATATTTGATCAAAATTTTTGCAAAAGCAAAATCACATTAGTATTTTGTAGGATATCCTTTACAATCAAGAATAGCTTGGCATCTATGAGGCATAGAGTCAACTAAATTAATGCAAACGTCAATGGGAATTAAGTCCCATATTTCTTTGATTTTATTAAATAAATCAGCATAATTTGTAGGCTTAATTCCTTTCATTTGACGGTCAACATGTTCCCATAGATGTTCAATGGGATTTAAGTCAGGTGATTGGGATGGCCACTTCAAAACATTAACTTTACTCTCTTTAAAAAACTCTAAAACCGATTTAGCTGTATGTTTGGGATCGTTATCCTGTTGGTAAATCCATCCTCGAGGCATTTTATCCTTTGCATATGGTAACATAATAGTCTTACATATATCTTTGTACTTTTCTTGATTCACATTCTCGGTAATTCTATGGAAAGGACCAACTCCATTCCGGCTAAAACATCCCCAAACCATTACATTACCTCCTCCATGTTTTATGGTAGGCAGTTGGTATTTAGAATTGTACCTAGTACCTACTGGACGTCGAACATACCTGATTCCATCGGATCCAAACAGTATAAATTTTTTTATGCTGTTTGGATCCGCTTTCGTCACTAAAAAGAATTTTTGACCATTTTTGACTACTCCACCCTAGATGTTTTGATGCAAATTCCATTCGGGCGTTATGGTTTTTCAAGGAAACTAATGGTTTTTTAGCTGGGCTTCTTCCAAACAAATTAGCGTGACGTAAACGACGTTTTATAGTAGAAATACTACAATTCATTCCATAGAAACGTCTCATTTGTACGTTTAAATCAACAGCTGTCAAACGGGGATTTTCTTTGCTTAGTATTACAAGCTTTTTATCCTGATAACGCGTTGTTTTGCGTGGCCTTCCTGATTGATTTTTATTCTTTGTAGATCTAGTAAGCTCAAATCTCTTCATAATTTGTCCAGCAGCAGACTTACCAACTTCATAAAGCTGTGCTGTTTTACAAAACGAGTTTCCATTCTGAACTGATCTCAAGATCAATTTTTTTACTGGAGATGAAATACATTTCTTAGATCCCATGATCTCAATCACTTATATATAAAGTTTTGAAATTATTTCCACAAAGTATTTGTTTATAAAATCAACAAATTAGCTATTTTGTGGTGAAAATGTTAAAAGCGTTAGTTTGTCCGCAAACTTTTGAACTTATCCAAAATTGCCATTTTGTTAACCAATTTTAAAATGATAATTAAATATTCATTATTTGCTCAAAACATAATTGTTAACTTGGAAACCTTTTAATTGGTATATAATATGTTGGCTTTAGTGAAATATGTGCTGAAATTTAAGTAAAATTCCTTATTTTTTTGCCTGTCTGCAAACTTTTGGACGCTACTGTATATATATATATATATATATATATATATATATATATATATATATATATATATATATATATATATATATATATATATATATATATATATATATATATATATATATATATAAATATTGCAAAAAAAAAGTAACGACTATGACTCCAGTTGTTGAAATTTTTTCAGTACAACTCCAACTCTGACTCCGACTCCAGCTACAACTCCAAAGCAAAATTTTTGAAAAATTATTTGAGTTCTTTAAAAAATAATACGCATTAAGTTAAATTTTTTTTTTTGACAAGTTTATGAAACATTCTTTGAGGTTTAGTATGAACATAAGGTTAATTGAACGTTTTGTACATGCACGTGCAATAACGAGAAGTTTTACTATTGGAGTCAGAGTATATGTGTGTGTGTGTGTGTGTGTGTGTGTGTGTGCACGCATTTATATATACATACAATTTATATATATAAATTGTATGTATATATAATTTATATAGTTATAACAATAGTGAAATTTTTAAAATCTGATCTAGTTCAGGTAAAAATCTGATACATTTTTCTTAATTATTATATATAATTTGCAAAGCAATTAACTATTTTCATTTTTATAAAAATATTTTGGAATGTTATCCAGTAAAATGAATAGAAGTTTAAGAACCATGAATGAACAGATTTCTAATGGAATAAATAATAAATTTCAGGACTTCTAAAGTTCTGTTTATTTTCCATGCAGTTTCAAAGTTTGTAAACATATATGAAGTTCTAGAAATATAAGGTCTGGGTAGAAATATGAAATAAATTTTTATTTTTAAGGTCATCCCTGAATATCACTTACATTTGGTCTCCACAGTTTTCTGGCTTTTCCATTCTGTAACCACTCTTAAGAAGATGACCAAGCTCACTGTTTCTAACATTCGAATATGGTATTCCACCTTAAACAAAATAGATATAAGGGAGTGAAGAGAAAAAGATCTTTATAAAATTTTTTATAAAAATTATTCTTTATAAAATACTTTTTTATTTTAAATTTTAAAGCAGATATTTGAATTAAAATATTTTTTATTAAATACATTTATTTTATTAATTTATTTAAATTAATTTAAATATTCTTGCAACAGTGTTCATTGCTATTGATACCATTGCAACAACTTACACTGTTATTTTGAAAATTATTCAAATTCATTTAAAAACATTTATATTAAATAAAGTTAAAGAAAACTAATTTAAACTTGATAGTAATAAAAAAAAATAAGTTAATTTAAATTTATTATTTACAAATAATAATTTAAATTTATAACTATTAAAACAGTTAATAAAAACATATCTTTTTCAAATAGTTTATGTCAATGAGTAAATCTTTTAAGTAAAATTTATTATATCCCTTCTATTATAATTCTCATATTTTTCCAGTCAATATATTGACTAATTCCCAACATTCCTTTTTTATAATTTTTTTTTCATCTCATGTATAATAATTTAAATCATTAAAAAAAAACTTTCTTAATGTAACAATATTGAAAATTATTTTACCTAATGTAACAATTTCAAAAAGAACAACTCCATATGACCAACTAAAAAAAGCAATATTATATTAATAATATATATTATTAAAAATAACTCAGTTAAAAATAACTACATTCAGTATTTATTTCTACAAAAACTTTTAAATCATTTTGTATATTTCACTTACACATCACTATAAGGTGTAAATGATGAATGAAGTATGGCTTCTACAGACATCCATTTTAAAGGCAAAGGCCGACATGTGGTGCTAACGTAAATTTTTTCACCTGTGATTTTTCTAGCCAAACCAAAATCTGAAATCTTTATGCTTCCTTCACTTCCAACAAGGATATTTCTTGCAGCAAGATCTCTATGTACTAAGTTTGTCTTTCCTAAATATTCCTGAATAAATAATTGTGTCACAAGTGAATATATATTATTCAAATTCAAAATAATTTTGTTAAAAATGAAAAAATTAGAAACCATTCCAGATGCAATTTGCCATGCAAATGAAAGAAGTTCATTAGAATTGGTTAGTCTTTTTATGTTTGAAGAATCAGATGTATTGTAGACCTATGTAAAAAAATCTCAGATGTAGAGTTTATCTATGTAAAAAAATAATAAATTTTTTTTTGAAATTGGAAATTAAATGCAGACTTCCTCTGCATACAAATTCACAACTAAATGTTTAATTTTTTTTTTGAGCCTTGAATAATATTAATTATCGCAAAATAACAACAAACAACTTTGGCATAAAAAAAACAACAAATAACAACAAACAACTTCAGCATAAGACAAACAACAAAATAACAACAAACAACTTCAGCATAAGATAAACAACAAAATATCAACAAACAACTTCAGCATAAGATAAACAACAAAATAACAACAAACAACTTCAGCATAAAACAAACAACAAAATAACAACAAGCAACTTCAGCATAAGACAAACAACAAAATAACAACAAACAACTTCAGCATAAGACAAACAACAAAACATCAACAAACAACATCAGCGTACCTTTTGACTATTTTGATAACTTTTTGGATAATCATAATTGCCAACATTTGTTTCTTTCTCTTCATTAGAGCAAATCTAAACAACGAGTTTTATTATTACGCATAAGTATTTTTAACTTTTAAACACAATATCAATAAAAATTACGTATATTAGGGTGGTGGTGCTGTCATATGATGGTGCTCAAAATAATTTTTTTTTACAAAACCCACTACATGTTATATATAGCATAATAAAACTAAATTTAAAAAATTAATTTATAAATATATATATATATATATACATATATATATATACATATATATATATATATATAATATATATATATATATATATATATATATATATATATATATATATATATATATATATATATATATATATATATATATATATATATATATATATATATATATATATATATATATATATATATATGAGATCTACATAGCACTGGGGTAAAAATTCAAGGTTGAGTGAGAGATTTAAAAAAAAAAGGAGTAGACTTCTTGACTCTAGTCACTCTGGAGCGTTGGGAAGATGAATTTATTTAAAACAAAACAAAATAAAGAAGCAAAATTATAAAAAAACCATTAAAAAAAAGGTTTTTTTTTTTTTTTTTAACTTTTAGGTAAAATAGTCTTTTATGCAATAAATCTGAAAATTTTAAAATAAAATAAAAACAATTGTTGTTTTAAAAGTTTTAATAAAAACAATTATTGTTTTAAAAATTTTTATATATAATTTCCTTTCTTTTATTTATTACCATTGCAAGATTCTGTCTCAAAAAATTAAGAAGATCTCCATTTTCCATAAATTCAATAACTAGACATAAGGATTTTTTAAAAGAAGACCATCCGACCATATTTGCAATGTTTTTATGGTAACCAATGTCCTTCATAATTTCAATTTCATAACGAAAATCCAGAAGTTGATTTTGAATTGTTGCCTCTACAAAAAAATATTTTGGTGTTATATATTTTAAAAAAAGTTCATTAACAATTCATTAAAAAAAAAAGAACAATATTAAAAAAGTATTTAAATTAATAAATAACATGAATAGATTAAAATTATTGATAAAAAGTTATTTTTCAATCAAAATTCTAGTAGATTAGGATTTAACAGCAACTTTAAATTTTGAAACAATCACTTCTTATTTATCTAATTTCAACATAATTTTTTAATAGCAAATCATAGTAAACATTGATTGATCTGTTTCTATGTTCAGCTAAATAATCGTTAAAACTTTTTTCTACAAATACTTATCTTACTTTCATAATTATAAATACTTATCTTACCTTCATACTTATAAACACTTATCTTACTTTGATACTTACATATACTTATCTTACTTTGATACTTACAAATACTTATCTTACTTTCATACTTATAAATCTTTAAATAGCATTTAAATCCGAATCACAAGAAAGGCTAAAGGAACATAAAATTGTTGCTTGAAAAATCAACTAAGACAGTTATTAGTGGGTTGTATGTGAAGACTTTGATATGCTAGCATCTTTCTCGGTCTACAAGTAGGATAGACAGTATTCATGTCTTCTTTGTTTATAGGAAAGCAAGGCTGCGGATCAGCGCTTTATAAGATGAGAGTGGCCAGTTAGAGAACATTTACTGATTCACACAATGTTATAATACCTAATATATACCTAATATATAACTAATAATCTCCAATACCTTTAGAGAATATCTTACTTCCACCCCTTCATATTAAACTAGGTTTTGTCAAACAATATGTCAAAGCATTAAACCCAGCTAATGCAGCATTTCAGCATATTCAGCAGATGTTCTCATTCAGATGTTCTGAAAAACTCATTGGTTTTTCGAAAAAAAAAAAAAAAAAAAAGCCTCAAGTAAAAAAAAATCTTTTTTATTACAGGGTTCTTCATTCTTATATGCGTGTCTATTCATTTTTATATGTGTGTTTATTCATGGCTGCACAAAACTGCAAGGCTGCAAGAAACCATTATTAAGTTACTAGAAGACTAAGAATGAGTTGAAGTGTAGGGAAATAAACTAGACAAATAAAAATTTTTAGAGCATGCTGTGACAGATACAGTAAAATGATACAAATTTGCTGAGTCAAGCAAGAATGAGTTTTGGTTGATGGAACTAGAGATGATAGCTCCTTTAAGCATTGATCATTATTTTGTAGAAAAGAAAAAGAGATGCAAACTTATGATGATGGAAGAGTAGCTCAAGCTTGGCAGTTAGAGCAGGTCCAACTACATTTAAAATGCATTTTTGGACCTTGTGTAGAAAAGAAAGAACATTAGAAGAACCAGCCCAAATATAAAAATAGATTCTAATAACATGACAAGATTCCAATAACATGACAAGATTCCAATAACACAGTGATGAAGAATATTTTAATTCATATACGTAACAAAAACAAAAAAACAAAGTTGTGGTTGATTGTTATATTAATTATTATTTAAAAAATAATTATTAAATAATAAATTGAACACTGCTATTAAATTAATAACCATCTTGGTGCATTTATAAAAAATACTACTATGCATTGATAAAATTTACCTTTCAAACACTTGACAGCAACAAATTTCGTTTTATTAGGATTTTCTTTATTTTTATTCTTGTTATGAAAAGCAAATGGTGACTGATTAGCAAAATATTTTGTATTCATAAAAACTGCTGGTTTTAATGTTGCTTTAAAAACTGTTCCAAATTCTCCTTCACCAATTTTTTCTTCAAAACAAATATCATTAATCATAATCTGCCATTCGTCTTTTTTTATGCATAACTCGTTTAAACCTATTTGCCTGTAATAACAATTTACTTTTAAAAAATCATAAAAGAAATCCATATATATATATATATATATATATATATATATATATATATATATATATATATATATATATATATATATATATATATATATATATATATATATACTCACACATAGTCAGTTGTTTACTTGTAACAATTATCACAATATTGTTGATACTCCTATAATACACAGTACTTGAAATGACTTTAAGTTTCTCCACTAAAAGTACTTTTTTTTATATTTATGTTTCTTCTCCATAAGTATTTTTTTTTAAGTAAGGGATTACGGATAAAATAAAAAAAAACACAAAACAATATTTGTACAAAAATAAATATATACATATATTTGAATATATTTGTACAATAAAAATAATTTTTTTTCATTCGTCTTATAACATGTCGTATATGAATAAAACCCTTAAAGTTTACATGAAAACTTGTCTGTTGAATTAAAATTTTTATGAAACACGAGAACACATGTCAACTAACAAATTGACAAAAAACATGCTATACATGTTTCAAATGAAAACTCTATTAAAACTAAAATCATTGATCATTTCTTTGCTTATTATCCTAAATAAACATTTTATAAATTAAATATTTTGTTAAAACTATAAACTTATTTAATATTTATTACTATTTGTTACTATTGCATATTTTAAAATTTATTATTATTTATTATTATAATAAAGTTATAGAACTCTCATTATTTGTGTCTTTTCAAAAAACTTTATTTTGTTTATAGAGACAAAATGCTTTTCTCTTTTTATGCATTTTCAATTTTCTTAATAAAACATATTTATGAACTCGATTATGCATTTATTCCAAATAAAAACATATTTTGACAAAAATAAGTTGACTGAGAGAAACTAAATAATGATTGAGAACTTTTGCGACTGATATTATAATAATGTGACTGAGATAATTATGTGACTGAGATAATTATGCGACTGAAATAATTATAATGTGAGAATTGTTACTGAGTTAATAATCATGTAACTAAATAATAATATCATAAAGTACTTTTAATTTTTTTCTTGCCAAAATTGTCAAAATTATAATAACTAATTCAGACACTGATACTTTTATTCAACTTACCCTTTTTTTGTGTTTGATTGTAATCTAAGATTCCGTTTTCTCATATACCAAATGAAAAAACCTATAAATATTACTATGAAAATTACCAGTGGTACAACAATTGCAGCAATAGGAGAAGTAGAAATTTCTAAAAATTAGGCATTAAATCATCAAGTAATTTTAGATTATGTATGTATGTATGTATGTATGTATGTATGTATGTATGTATGTATGTATGATGTATGTATGTATGATGTATGTTGTATATATATATATATATATATATATATATATATATATATATATATATATATATATATATATATATATATATATATATATATATATATATAAATGCATACTTTATTCAGCAGTCTGATCTCATACTGAAATAGAGAGCTGCCAGGGGCTACAGCACATACATTGACTGACTAAATAGAAAAAAATATGCAAGGAGTGCTGCTACATTTACTAAATATTTGTGTTCATTTGATATAATTAAGGTAATCTAAAGAAAGTTAAAAAAAATGAGCCAGATACACTTATAGTTAAAAGGATATTGTGGAGTTGCAACAAGACAAATTTAAGTTTTTTTAAAAATGCTCGTATGATAGCTCATATGACACTCAATGGTAGTCATGATATTTAAAGATAGCTGAAATGATATTTGATGATGCTTAATTATACTTGATGATGTTCAACAATTGCATAGTGATAGCTCAGATAAACAAGTGATTTAAATTTCACAATTTTCTCAATAGCAAATATAAGAGCTGACAGATTACTTTTTACACCTAAATTAACAGCAATGGAGTTATACCCTGATTCATTTATAGAAAATTATAAAAACGAATAAGGGAATATCAACATCAACCATTTATCATGTAAATGTCTCTAACAATTTTTACCAATGATTAGATGCATTCAAAGACCTGTGATTTTCCATTTAGTAAGTAATTAGATGCAGGTTGGAGTTTGCAGGTCGAAGACCTGTGAACTTAGAATTATGACTAAAAGGTTTGTAAATAAGCCAAAAAAAATTGATCTCTAATGTCCAGACATAAACTACACAATCTCTTATATTGGTCAATAGCATAGGACTTGATTAAGAAATAAGAGCAGAAAAAAAATGAAGTTGTTAGTAACAAACAAAATATAGGAGAAAAAAAAAATTTTTATCAAAAAAATGAAAATAAAACATAAAAAAACAAAGACTCATATATAGTAAAAAGGACTCATATAAAGTAAAAAGATCTCTAAAGGAAAAAAGTATAGCTTGGGTCAACTAAGAATTGATTCAAGTTATGCTTTATTTTTACAAATGCTTTAACAACTTTTGTTTGAGCAAAATGATTTTGAATATGACTAAAAAGTTTATAAAAATGTACTTTTTAAGGTTTCTAAATGTACTTAAGTAAGCTGATGTTATTTTACGAGTGGCAAACACTGAACCATAGTAACTAAGTAGATTATTATGTTTACCAATGATTTTATGATGCACAATTGATGTTATGAAATAACTACTTAAAAAAGATAGAAACTGCAAAAATAGCAACTGCTGCACTTATTGATGCTAAAATTATCACTGCAGGAAACACTTAATTATTAACAAAGTTAAGTGAGCTTAAGAAAAAATTGGAAAAGAGTTGACCTCGAAACTCCATAATGAACTAAACAATAATGGTTTGAGTTGCATTTTTTTCAATGGTAGAAAAGATGACAATAAAACTTTTTTTTGATGTTCAAGTCAGAAAATTCCTTGGTTTAATAAAAAAAGAACATTATACTGTGTGCAGTGAACCTGGTGGAAATTATCTATTCTATTTTGTTTCTGAAGAATCAGATTTGAAAAAACTTGCATAGATATTTGCTGATCATTTAATTGAATGGCCTAAAGAAAGATGTTTGTATTTGACAATAAAACTCATAGGTTGTGATAGTTCTAATGTAAATACTGGATGGGCAGAAGGAGTGATACAATGGTTTTAAAAAAAAACTTAATAAAAAACTTGTATGGACTGTATGTGACGTGCACACTGAGGAAGTAGGGTTAAGAAGTCTCATTAAGTTTCTTGATGGTCCTACCAAAGCCAGTAATAATTGGTCAGGACTGCTGGGTAAGATGTTGAACGATGCTAGCAACTTTGAAATTAACCCAGAATTTTTTAAAGTGTGTAAAAACTCTCCACTTATCTACCTCAGTCCTGACATTATGTCAATGAATTCTGGGTAAAGTTAAAAATTGATTAACACTCAAAGAAAGTAGCAAAGCCCTTTCATACACAATCTTTTGAAAGATGTGTAAAAACGACATCTGAAAGTGCTTGTCATATCTTAGGTCAGGCCAGAAGAAATACTTACATTCAAATAGGTAGAAGAGAACTTATGTCTAATAATTCTAGTAACAAAGATAAAATGAACCTCATTGAAAAAATTAGTTGCAAACTAATATTTAATCATGTTTAGTTAGATAACTATCTCTTGGACTTGTTTTTTTATGAAGTAAATATAAACATATGAGTGTTTAAAAAGCTTGATGTTCTTTTTACTTCATGCTCTTATCTTTAATCAAAATAATGAGCTCACATACATTTAGTTTTTGGTATTACAAATATGTGTATATATACAGCTCTCGGAATTCGAGTCAACATTCAGCAATGCCAACCTAACTGCCGACTTAGAATTGTTTAAAGTCAGAAAAAAATTGCCTTGCTTTGCTTTTATGTTTTATGGTAAAACCTTTGTTTTCAATTTTTTTTGCCAAAATAACAAACAACTTTAATTCATCATTCCTATATAATCCAAAAAATATAAACATTGAGGGTGTAAATTGAAAATACAATTATTGTTTACACATTGTTTGTTCAACTAAATAAAATGCACCATTTTATTCACATAGGTGAATTTTAGTTTGCTAAATGATTTAGTAAATAAATTCAATCTTCTTTGGAGATTATGACAAACTTCAGTTTCAAAAATAAAAAAGTCTAAAAGAATAATAGTTTAAGTAAAAAAAAGTAAATTAAAATATTTTTTTATCAAAAAAAATTGTTTTCATGCTTTGCATACTAAAAAAAAACAAAAAAAAACTAACCATCATCAAATTTCAAAAAAAAGTGAAAATCGACACACTCTAATGAGTACATATATGGGTAAAATTTGTTTTGTGCAAGGAGGAGTAGATAAATGGGTAAACTTAGCTTTGAGTGATGATGGATACATAGGGGTATAAATATTGTTTTCAGTAATGATGGGTACATAAGAGGGGTACATAAGAGGGTAAAATTTGTGTTGAGTAACAGCAACAATAATAAAAACTTAAGTTACATGGACCAGATGTGAACAGAAAGGTGAATTCATTATATTTCAACCAATGGCCTGTGAGCACCTTTTTTGATTGTCCTGGTTTTTACATATCCTAATCTGGATTATTTAGGTATAATTTGATTTCAGACTTCCAAGTGCAACAGTTTAGAAAAAATAGCTTTATAAACACAACACAGTAGTCTGCCTCAATTTATGAATGGTAAAAACTTATAACTTTAAAAATACTTTAAAGTTTAAAATACTTAAACTACTTAACTACTTAAAAAAACTTTATAACTTTTATAACTTTTTTTGTACTTTTAAACCTTATATATTTTTTAGAACAATTTTCTAGATAGTTCTGCTTATAAATTAGTAATTTTCATTATATAAAAATAACCTTGTCAACTTTAGGAAAAACTTGAAAATTGCTAAAAAATGCAGAATTAAAGTTACCTGTAGTATTTTTCTATTCACAATTTTTCTAAATTAGAATGTATATTCGACTATAAAATGTATATTCGACTAAATTAGAATGTATATTTGACAGAATGTATACACACTATTTAATTTTAATACTTTCTAAATTATTTTTCTATTCACTATTTTTCTATCCACAAATCTTTACAGGTAAGTTTTCTGATTAGCTACTATTGTCTGCAATTAATGGGCAATATATAGCTTTTTGCAGTTTAGAACTTAAAGTATATCTGAAACTTTATTGTCCATTTACCAAAAAAAACCAATTTTAAACCATTTTGTTATGCTTATAAATTTTTTGAACACTTTATATTGATCTAAGATTAACAGAATATAAGACTATTAGACCCAACTATATAACAATGCAAACATTTTAAAATTGCAATCTTCACATCAAAAATGGCAGCATTTTTAAATAACCCTATTTTTCAATTATTAATGGTTGAATGAGCTATTAGAAACCTGTGCCGATCGAACCTGCCAACTGGCCAATGGGAGGGATGCAACCAATTATGAACTATTTCTTAAGAAAAAGAAAAATATGGTTGGTTTCCCCTCCTTAATTTACTTTTTATATTGGTAGGGCCACACATAAAAAGGTAGCAACTATTCATGTGATACTTTAAACATAATTTATACAATTAAGGAGTAATATATCTCAAAAACCATTAACACCTTCCAAAATAATGCTAAACAGTTTTTTAAAAGCTTTCTTATTATATACAGGGTATTAAAGAATTCTATAATAAAAACAGAAATTCTTAAAGAAATAAGTCTAAACATGTTTATAAACAACTTTTATTATTAGGTTTGGTTTTTACTTTTTAATCAATAAATAGTTGATAACTATTAATTAAAACATTTAATATTTGATCTTTTATACAATCTTTTTTTTTAAAAGATAAAAGTAAAACCTCTTGTGTTTTTGAGCTCAGCTCATGTAACATAGCAATAATGTCACTAACTGGATATCAATGGATATTTGGTGTTATTGGATAATAATTGTCAAGCATTTTGTAAACAGCTGACACAAACAGAATCACATTTAAGAACTGTTATGATTCTAGGAAAAAACCTACCAAAATAATGCAATATTGCCTAATCAGCAGTATGTCAATATTCAGTAACTTTAGTGTATGCAAGTACCTTTCACTATGTTAAAAAGTATGGTTGAAATGAGTAGGTTACTTTAATAGCGAGAACATTCTCAAACTATTTGTGCACTTTTTGTGCACAAATAGTTTGAGAATGAATTCCTATTGCTGTTTTAATTCCAGATATATAAACCAATCTAAAAACAAATTTAATCATAAATTAGATAAATCTAAAAACATAATTTTAAAAATGTATTTAGTAAGATCTTGTTTTAACAAATCATTTTCTAGACAATTTTTAAAAAAAAAAGTTTTATAAAAAATTACAAAATTTGTTTTACAAGGATTTACTTTTCATAAAAACAACAACAACAACAAAAAAAATAACCATTATTTTTAATTAGAAGTCCAGTATGATATAAAATACAAAACATCAATAAATAAATAAAAAAATTTAACACATATACACTTAGTCTTAACATGCTTAACATGCTATAAACCTGAGGTTTTTACAACATTCTTTAGCAACCAAAAACATGCCATTGATTGATTTCCAATCGATATTTGAAGAGACCTCTATTATTAACTCTTTTATTATTAACTCTTTTACCAGTGCCATCTACTCAAACACATGCACTTTTTACTGTGTCCAAAAAAAATGCCAATCTGCTTCCAATCCATAGTTTTCCTTATGAAACATTTTTTATATTAAACCTAGAATACAATAAGACATAATACACATATTCTAAGTATGATTAATTTTTTATCAAATTTGAAAAACATTTCAAGAGCGAAAAAGTGTTTTGGTTAAATTTTAGGAAAAATTTTTTAAATATTATAATTTTTAAAATTAACTTACTTATTTTTATATTGGTTAACAACACCATAAGTGAAATAATGGATCTTCTGAACTTGTCTATATTCCTATTTCAGAGTTGTTACGAATTTTGAAACATAATTTAAAATTTTCAGCAAACTCCATTTGTATAATTCATTCTATAGCTTTTAGGCTTTCTTCAAACTATTTTAGAAAGTTTGTCAGGGTAACAATGGTAACGATGTTTTGTGAGTTTAAATAATTTGTTTGTTAACTCATCTAAAAATTCATTAGGGCTTTTGACTATTGTTTTTGAGGAGCACCTATCAGTTTTCATCCATTATTTATAAGTTTTAAGCTGAATCCTTTACCAGGTTCTCTAGTTCTTTTCAATTCTTATATACATGACTTATTATATATATATATATATATATATATATATATATATATATATATATATATATATATATATATATAGCAACATTTTCATTCATGATTCTTCGTTTTCCCTAATCGTTTTCTAAAAACGCTCACTTAATTTAGGCTAGCAAAAAAAGTGAGCAATTGTGCATATAACTATGCTATAGTAGATATATATATTTATATATGTATAAATATGTATATATACATATATATATATATATATATATATATATATATATATATATATATATATATATATATATATATATGTATATATATACATATATATACATTTATATATATGTATATATATATATATATATGTATATATATATATATATATATATGTATATATATATGTATATATATATATATATATATATACATATATATATATATAACCATATATATATATATATATATATATATATATATATATATATATATATATATATATATATATATATATATATATATATATATATATATATATATATATATATATATATATATATATATATATATATATATATATATATATATATATATATATATATATATATATATATATATATATATATATATATATATACAACCCTCAGAATTAGGAAAAATGAGGTCTGCTATATTTTGCCGACCTCGATCTTTTTGAGGTTGGCATCAGGTCGGCAAAAATTATTTGATACAAAGGTCTGACCATCAAACATAAAAACGAGGTCAGCATTTTTTGCTGACCTCAAACACTTTTAGGTTGGCAGTTAGGTCAGCATTACCGAATGCCGACCCTAATTCTGAGGGTTGTGTGTGTGTGTATATATATATATATATATATATATATATATATATATATATATATATATATATATATATATATATATATATATATATATATATATATATATATATATATATATATATATATATATATATTAATTAGCAGAAAATTACTTAAACATTTTTCATTTTACACAGTCTTTCATCAATTAAGATTCATCATAAATGAATGTTTAATTATTGCACTGTTCTTTTAAGAACATTGAGCATTTTATTTTGTAGAATACATTTAAAACTATTAAATGTGTGTTGGTATATATATAAATATATATATATATATATATATATATATATATATATATATATATATATATATATATATATATATATACACACACACATATACAATAATAAAACATGAAATCCTTGTTATTTTGATTGAATTCATCTTGTTCTACTTCACATTGATTCCTGAATCCTTTACCCTACTTGTGCACTGAATTATTAACAAATTAATCACTTTTATTAAAAATAGAATTTAAAAGAAAAATGCTTATAATTTTAAAATTATTTAGATATTTTTAAAGAAACACATTTAAACAATAATGTAGGGCTCTAAATATTTGACCTTTTATTTGTGGTCCTATACAGACTAAAGACCAAATCAAATAGGGAACAATCAACCATATCATTCTTTACCTTAAGAAAAAACTTATAATTGGTTGCACCATTGGACAGTGGGCAGGTTGGGGTGCACTGGTTTTAAAAAATGTATTTAACCACTGATAATTAAAAAAAAAAGGTTATTTAAAAATGCTGCTATTTTTGATGTGAACATTGTAAGTTTAAAATGTTTGCTTTATTATATAGTTGGGTTTAATGGACTCATATATGAATTATCTTAGATCTATACAAAGTATTGGAAAAAATTACAAGCATTTCTAAATAGCTGCAAATGGGACTTTTTAGGTAAATAGACAATATTCTTTTAGATATATTTGATTTCTAAACTGTAAAGACTTGTGGATGAATAGAAAACTTTGGAAAATTTTGGAATTTAGCAATTTTAATTTTTTTCCTAAGGTTGAGGAGGTTATAATTTTTTTTTGATATGATAATATGATAGAAACTTTTATAAGCAGAACTATCTAAAACATAGTTTTAGAAAAAATAAGGCACCAATAAAATTTAATGAAAATTATAAATTGAATTTATTTGAAAGTATTTATCAGTTATAAGCATAAAAAATAATTACTCAGTTTAGTTTTTTTGCAATTCTGAAAATTAGGAACATCTTGACAACCTATAAATAAACATGTAAATAATAAAGATATAACTCATAAATATGCAAATAAAAAGACTTATGTTTTGACCAACTAAAGGGGTCCTCCATAAATTATGTCATGGAACTTTTGACAATTTTGAAACCTCCCCGTCTCCCTAGTAACAAATTGCCACATTTTACTGATACCCCCTTCCCTAAAATTATGCAACAAATTTGTACAACCCCTAGCACCCCCCCCCCCATGCCCACCTCCTCCCTACTAAATCTTTTTTTTTGGTTTTAAATACAATAATACTTTTAATTTTTTTAGCTGCTTTTGGTTATTTAATGAATACATTTTAACGCATATCAATTTTAATTACTATTATTTAATATTACTTAGAAAGTCAAACTTCATTAACTTAAAAAAATATTATTTGTACTTAAAAGTTGTTTAAATTTTAAATTTTTTACCTAGACTACATGTTAGTGTTGAGTCATGGATGATAATATTTGCATATAGCAAGGCATGAATAGTAAAGGTTTAGGGTTCAATCCCCATAGCAGGGACCAATTTTGATGCTTTAATTAAAAGTTGTTTTGTATGTTTTAATAATATGTTATTCAATTAAATGTTTTATATGTTTAATTTTATATGTTTTAATAATATGTTGTTCAATTTTAACTTAATATTTAAATTTTCTGAAGTTAAAATAATAATAAATTTGTAATATTATTTATTTTATTTAATACCTTTAATAATATTTATAATAATTTATTGATAATTTTTTTAAATTTATGATAAATCGGCTATATCATCGACTAATAAACCAGTAGATAGACTCATTAATTAAAGTCAATTTCAATTTATGTTAAACTAGAACAGGCACAGTGGAGTGTAAATCAACTGAGAGTTTATGTTTTAGGCTAGGCACTCTTTTAATCAACAGAAATTATTTCTAAAATTGAAACGTGAAGAAAAAAAAACTGCTGCATCATATAACTGAATAACGACCTTCCCCTGTAACAAACCATCACAAAATTGCTTAGTCTTCTCCCTGTATTGCGTGAAGTAATTTGTGGATGACCCCAAACATATTTATTATAAAATTATTATACAATAAATATTAATTAAAGTTAGCATTTATTAAAGTTTATCATGTTTACAGCAAATAATTTCATTTAATACTTTTACATATTATAACAAAATTTCTATTAAGATGTTTATATTATTAAATGTTACCTGTGTAACGAAATGATATTTCAGAAATATTTCCAACAGTACAATTTCCAATGTTTGTTAATATCTGTCAAGAATAAAATAATAAATAAAATTATAAATTTATAAAATTATAAGTTTTCTCAAAAAAATGAGAAAATTATAAAAACATAATTAAAACCTTTAATCTGACTGCACAACCTTTAAGTTGATCATGGGATGGATTTATCAGTTTAAAAGTGCCAGAAAAATTTGTCTAAAAAATTTAAAAGTATTAACTGCATTCTGAAACATTATTTGCAAAACAAACATAACAGTGCAATTTACTATTAAAGAAAACAAAGTAATGTAACAAAAAAAATATTAGTTTAGTTTTTGTTTTATATTTTTGCTTTATATCGCAAATATTATCACAGCTTTATATGGCAGCAGTTTCTCACAAAGCATTAACAAAAAGCTTGAATTATATAAATGTATTTATGGATGGTGTATTTATGTATAACATTACAAGTTGTTACAACCCCTTGATTAAAAATTTTTTTGAAAATATTTTGAAAAAATTGAGACATTTTTTGGAGATTGTAAACATTTAGTAATAATGGGTGATTTCAACACAGAAATAAGCAACAAGTCTATGGAGGAATTTTGTTACATTTAAAAGTTAAAATTACTTATTAAAAAATCAATTTGCTTCAAAAACCTAAACAATTCAACAACAATATTAACCTTATTTTAACAAATAATCTTTTAAATTTCTGCAACTTCACTGCAATTGAGATAGGATTATCTGACTTCCATAAGTTGAAAATAACTACTATGAAATGTAACTTTCCAAAACAACCCAGAAAGATTATTAAATAAAGAAACTATGAAAATTATGAAAAAACTTTTTCGATATCATTTGGTAAGAGAAATAAAAGAAGAAACCTATAGAAAAAAGAACTTGAATACTTTAATAAGCAACGCTTTAATGTTATTAAACAAACACCTCAAAAACAGAAAAAACAAACAAAAAAACAAGAGATCTAAGAAAGAATAATGAACAAACACCGAAAGTTCAAGAAAGTATAAAAAGCTGTAAGTTGTTAAAGAAAAATGATACTTTAACAATAGATGATATCCAATACTCAGCAATGCTCTCATATAATCTGCATCAGAATAAAGAGATTTCTGAAGAAGCAAACAATAAACATCTGAACATAGTTGTTGTTGATAACGGGTGGTTACTAAAAATCCGGACAAACTTTCAAGTGCAATTACTTCCAAAGTTTTTATGGTAGAGATTAAATAAAACTATCATTAAAAAGAGTTTTTAGTTATTTATTTATTTTAATTAAGTTTGTCTTCAACCAGTCTGTTTCTTCGGATTCGGCCAACTCTAACACGAGTTGACCCAAAAAGTGAAAATACTAGGTTAAGGTCAATTTTTTTCAGGCAAAGCTTTATTCTGGTTCGTAGTTGTTTCACGTCTTTTGCTTGCCAGTTACTCTCATTCACTTTGCCTTTCAAAATAGCCCAAAAGTCTTTGATTGGGCGACACTCCGGTACAGCTGGCGAATTGTCAACTTTTTTGATAAAATTGATGTTATGAGTCTCGTAGCAGCTGGTCACGGTTTTGGCATAATGCGATGAAGCCAGGTCCGACCAAAATATGTAATTACCATCGGCATGATAAGCGTTGATAAACGGCACTAATCTTTTCCTAATACAATTCATTTCATAGATGGCTTTATTGACTGCAAGGCCGCTGGGTATAAAAAATGGTTTTGAAACACCTTTGTCAGAAGCGGCCAGCCAGACAAGCACCTTGGGTTCGAACTTGCGTTTTTTGCGATATTTAACACTTGGTGGAGTCTTGTCTCTGTCGCTAGAGTAGTAGATGCTGTTTCCATTAATTGTTGAGTGTGACACCGTGAAGTAAGACTCATCGTCAAGGATGACCGATTTTCCTTTAAAAACGCAATAAAGACGATCAATGCAAGTTTTGATTCGCTCATTCTGGTTCTCTTGTCGATGAGGTATACCCTGTTTTGTATAACTTTTGATGTCAGTGTACTTGGCAAGAGTTTTAATGATATGTGAATGACTGCATCCAAATTTTCGACCAGCTTGCCTCATCGAAACTCGGTCACTGTGATCAAATATGGCTTTCAGGCGCTTGATCCTCTTAGGGGTCATGATTTTGGCTACACGACCACTTCCTTGCACTCTTTTGTGCCCAGAATCATTCTCGACACGTTTGATTATATCATAGAAAGTGGTTCTTGGGATTTTTTCAGCATTGAAGTGAGCTACTGTGAACTTTTTACCTTGCAATTTATTATTCAAATAGAACTCGTAAATCCGTTTTCTTACCTCTTCTTGCTTGGTCATCATTATTTTTTTAATTATTATTAATTATCTAAAAAAAAAATTAACTTATAGAGAATTAAATAAGCTATAAAATGGATATAAACATGAATAAAAAAGATTTAGCTTGTGGCATTTAAAATTCAGTTAAAGTTTGTCCGGATTTTTAGTAACCACCCGTTAGCAGCAATAAAGAAAATAATAATTGGCAAAACCATACAAAGGTTATTTATAAAAGCAGCCTTTCACTATTAAGGAATTCAATAACAATTAAAAAAAGTTATTTTACGAAAACTAATTCCTGAAACTGACTAAATAACCCAGTGAGGACTCTACATCTCTATATTCAATTCACTCTTTTTCATCTCAAAGTATTTTTGAGATAAAAAAATTATTAATTTTTAATTCTTTTTCATATCAACAGAATAAAAATTGATGAAATAAGAAAATATATCTGCACTTCAAAAATGTAAAAAAAGACACAACTAAAATCCTTTGGTTTCAGTAGAAATGCATTAAACTTTATTTAATTGTATCTTAGCAACAGAAAACAGGAAGCAAAAAAAATCATCAATAAATTTCTTACTCTAATAATTTGTTAGACATTCCACAAGGATCAATTGTTTGTTACTGTTTAATAGCTTTATAAGTGATTTATTTCTATTTCTACCCAACACTGATGTTGCAGGTTATGCTGATGATAACAATACTTATTGTAAGACCTAATTTCTGTTGAGAGTGATCTGCAAAAAGCTGCATATCAATTTTCTCTATGGTTTAAAAATAATTGTATCAAGGCCAAGTGCTTCATAAAGTTAACACCTGTAATATGGAAATAATTTTATCTAAAAATGAAAAACTACTTGAGATTATGTTTGATAATAAACTTTCTTTTGATAAGCATGTAAATAATTTATGCAAAACAGCAAGTAAAAAATTTAATCCACTTTCAAGACTTGCTTCATTCATTTCTTTTATGCCTTCAAAAACTTATACCTATATTAAATCTCATTTTTTGTATTTTCCATTAGTTTGAATATTTCATAGTAGAAAACTAAACAATACTATAAACTGTATCTAAAAAAGAGAGAGAGAGCCCTTAAATTTGTCTATAAACTGTATCTTCAAAAGAATTAAAAGAGAAAGAGCCCTTAAATTTCTCTATAAAAGAGTTGAAAGAGAGAAAAAGTCCTTAAAATTGTCTAGCCTTTAGAGATGAATATTATGACTACTAAACTTCTTTTGATAATTTGATGATAAAAATCTTTTACTATACACCGTGAGAACTTACATGTATTGGTTACCAAAATGATTAAAGTAAAAATGCAAATTCCACCTTTATCTATGAATGAGATTTTTGTTTTTTGGATACTAACTTAAGAAGGGATAAATTTTTTAGTCTCTCACACATTTGGTATCGCCAGTTTGGAGTTAGGTTACGACAGGTTGCTAATTAGTATTATCTTTGAAGGCATTCAAAATAAAATTCCAAAACACTGTCCATGCAAATTATGCATAATATTTATTAAGGACAATAAATTAATCTCAGCAATTTTTTTATTTAACTTCAATTAGCCTAATATAGATCACTTGTATGTTATTATATATGTTAACTATAATTAAATGTGTGTGTGTTTTTGTATGAATGTATGTGTGTATATATGTATGTATGTATGTATGTATGTATGTATGTATGTATGTATGTATGTATGTATGTATGTATGTATGTATGTATGTATGTATGTATGTATGTATGTATGTATGTATGTATGTATGTATGTATGTATGTATGTATGTATGTATGTATGTGTATATATGTATGTTTGTATATATGAATGTATGTATCTATAAATGCATGTATGTATGTATATTTATATAACTAACGCAAGTCAAATATAGAAAGATTATAAAATTTTGAACAACAATTTATATTTACAAAGCTATATAGTAACAAAATAAGTGTCACACCATTGATGAATTGTTTTGATAACTTTATTAATGAAGTAATTGTTGAATAAAAAATAAAAACATAAAATAATAAATAGATTTATTTAAATTTGTAAAACCTATAGTTTTATGCAAAAAATAAAATTGAAAAAAACATACAAAAGTCAATTTAACTGGGAAAAAACTAGTTTTGACAACATTGCTAGTTATGCAATCAGGTACTAACGTTTCAGCTGCCACCGAATTGAAAAAAGACATACCTAAATATAAATAAAACTTAAATGTGTAAACTGTCACAGTTTTTCAAATACATTGATAGATAAATTTTATAAAAAAATTTTCAAACTCTTAAAGGATTTATTAAAATAAATAAATTTATTTATTTTAATTAATTATTTATTTAATTATTTAAATAACTGCTAAATGTACAAATCATCAGAAACTTTAATGTCAAAACTTTTATTATAATAAGAATTTTATTGTACTTTATTAAACTTGGAAATAAAAGAATCATGTAAATAAAACAATAGAACTAATATTATAACTTAAGAAAAATATTTCAAAACATATTTTAATAAATTTTTAGTATTTTAAATATTCTGTAGAAAATCAAAAAGTTAGAATGAATGAATTGCGAATGTTGTGAATGCAAATATTAAAAAATAAAAATATTAAAAAAATTTTATCATCAAAAATCTCTGAACTCCATAAGAAGTTAGAAGACTAGCACATAATTTTGCAATAGCAAACAATATAATTGTGCTGAAACCACGGGGAAATGCTAATATGGCTGTCTCTGACTTTTTTTTTAATGTTAACTCACCTCCCTAATACCAAGAAGGCCATTACAGACAAGGAGGCTACTTAATTTTAGTTATAACCTTCTCTCAATTCTGTAACTCTGAAACACGAACCTTGACAAACAAGACCGCTGCGCAAAGTAAAAAATTGAGGGTGATACTACCAGGAACGCAGTGAGAATGAAACTTGACTAGATCCAGCTGTCAAGCCCATTTAAAATAGGGGAATAAAAAGAAGATAGGAAGGATTAAAAAAATGAAAAGAAATGTTGAGCAGACCCATATAAAATAACATGTAAATAATATATGCTTCCAGCAAGAGCTGAGCTTATAAATTACGACTTCAAGGTTCTATCAAATTGTACAGAATATGTTAATTTATCAGACAAAAGTATAAATGAATATAATATAATAAAATGACTCATAAAAAAACAACAATGAAATAAAAAAAAACAAAATGTGAAAACAAAACAAAGACAAAGCACCTGAATAGGCACATATATATATTGTAAAAAAAAAAAATATATATATATATATATATATATATATATATATATATATATATCCATGCATACATATAGAGAAAAAATAAAACATAGTTTACAATACAAATATATACAAATATATGTAGATATATCTGTATATATATGTAGACATATCAATCATAGGGGGAGGGCAGAAAGATAACAAAAATCTTGGTGTTGTGTATATGAAGCTACATCATAAGGGCCACAATACATTCACCAAAGATGTTTAGGAGAACCTTATAAAAAAAGGCTTGGTTAGAATGCATTTCTACTTTTCACCAAAAATGTTTTAGAAAACCTTATAAAAAAGGTAGAATGCATTTCTACCTTTGCCTGTTGCCAAAATTATATAGGTCATTATTGCAATAAAATGGACCTCACTAAAAAAAATCAAGCAGCAAAACTTCTCCTGAATTTGTACAACACCAATAATTTTTAGAAAAAACATAAACATTAAATATAATAGATATAAACAAAATATATATTATAAAAAATATATAAAAATGTAAAAACCACATAACACAATATTATTAACTATATCTTACAATAACAAGTGTATATAATAATAAACAAAAATAAACAAAGAAAATATAGATAAGAATCTTACCAAAATTGATGAGTGAATATAGATAACTATATCGGTATAAACTGTGTTGATATTTGTACAAACCAAAAGTAAATACGAAAATCAAAGTTTAGTTCACAGAGAACTATAAATAATAGTGACTAACTTGAATAAAGCGGTACAAATAGTTATTGTAGCTGACAGAGGTGAAACTGAAATCAAAATTGTTTTCAAGAAAACAATAAGATTGTAAATGAAGACTTTACAGTGGGCCAGGTAGTGAACAAAAATATTTTCAAGTGCAAAAATAAAAGAAATTTTTTTATATATATTGTTGCTCAGTTGTATATTAACTGAATTAAAATTAAATCACGCTAACTTATAAATTTTTTATACATCAGATTTATAAGCACATTAATTGCATTGCTGTTGTTTTTATGCTAAAAATTGCATTTTTTATATACTTTATATACTATAAGTTAATTTAATTTACTTTTACAATATTTAATCTACATACTTCTGGTAAATCTTCATTAATATATCAATAGTTTAAAGTTTGATGCAAATACATATTAAATAACACAATTAATAAAATTGAAATAAAATAATTTATATTCTTTACTCATTTTATTAACTGTAATAGTCTAGAACTATTAAATGACAGAGACTGACATTTAACCATATAGCTTATATAATCTGTATATCTATGAAGCATAAATATATGAAATTTTTTTTCTGGATATGTTTGCCTATGTAACAGCAATATCTATCCTAATGGTGTATATTTTATGTAAACTGTAATTATGGACATGACGTCAGTTTTTTTCTTGGAGTTGGATATATTTACAAAACTTTCATATTTTTTAATAAATTTAAAAAATTTGGGAAAGAGTGGGTGGCCAAAGCATAGTAGACCAGAATAGCCAATTTTGAAGAAATGATAGTATATAATTTAAAATTAGTGGCATATAAAGTAAATTAGGCATGACTACTAATATGAGGACTGTGCCTCCTAAGAAAATTTGATTGCTATGGATACCTAATTTTGCATGGCAACAAGCTATTTTATGTAATTGCAGACTTTTTATTTGATCTACATACACTAATTTCAGCATGGGTATTATATGAGGGTAATACTATTATCAAGGGTGTTTTTTTATTTAACTGCTATGGATACCACATTTTGTTGAGGAAAAAGCTTTTTGTAGTCATAATCAGTTTTTATAGAAAGTGTGTAAAAAAACTCCCTATAAGTGCAAATGTTAGAAATAATTGTGAAATATAAGTGTAAAATTAATATATTGCAACAGTCACCATTTATAAATTAAGGTAATCATTTATTTTATTACTAAAGTTAAAAAAAATTTTAAACTGAAACATTGTAATTGTATTGATAATAATTCAAATTAAAATAATAAAATTGTTCCATTGAAAAATGTAACTTAGGAATCTCAATGAAAGCTTGATAATTTTGATAGTTGAATTGTTTCTTGTGGTTTGTTGTTGTTGAATTTTAAGTTTAAAGTTGAATTTTAAGTTAAAAGTTGAATTTTAATCTAATTTGATATTGGTTTTCCTAAACTGCTAATGAGATGAGATGGACATAATAAATGTCTTCGTTATTTTTTACTTTGGACATTTTACAACTAAATGTAAACATTATTTAAAAAAAAATAGTTTGTTGCTTCTTGAGCCCCTTTACATACCTTTCGGAGGAAACTTCTTCTGATGAGTAAATAATTATGAATACTGTAGAACCATGAAAATATATTTACGTACATGTGAGCAACTTCTAAATAATACTTTTGGAATTAAGCAGCATTAACATCTAAACCACAAGAAAATGTACATAAACAAAGTTACTGTTAAGAATAACTTTTGGTAAATAAAATGTTTGATATTTTTTTCATATTTTCTAAAGAAATAATTTTGAATGTTACATGTCATTTCTTTAGAAAACCTGAAAAAGTATCAAACATATCTAAAAAAAATGCATCAACAGCTCCATCTACTCTGCATTTTTTTCAATTAAAAAGCCATCATCTTAGTCATCTTTTAAAAATCTGGAAAACTGTTTCGATAAAATATCTAGAAAAATTAGTTTTCTGTTATTTTCTTTTTAATTTTGCTTTTAGTTAAGTTGTTCCTAATTACTTTTTGATACTTTTCATAATTTTTCTATGAGTGATGAAAGAAAAAGCTTAAAAAACAAATATATTACAAAAAAAAAATACCTCAACTTGCATGTATTGAAAATGTTATGGATATCCGGAAAAACTAAAAGTTGAAAAAAATATCCGGAATTCCGGAAAAAGATAATCCCTGAAAAGCATTCCTTGCACTTTATCCAGACATGTAATGTTGACAAGTCATACTTAAGTTCAGCTTGTAAACCATTATATGTTTATAGGTTATTATAAAGTTAATGAACTGGCTTTTTAAAGGATGAAATGCAATATAAGACTTGCAACATAAGACTTGCAACATAAGACTTGCAACATAAGACTTGCAACATAAGACTTAGTTTACATAATTATAAAATAACAAGTTCAAAATATGAACATTTTTCGATCTTTGGACAGATTTTTTGAAAATTCTTTCAAAGTAAAAGGGATGGGGGTAGTGGGCATGCACACTGGGTCAGGCATTGAACAAAACTGTTTTTTATTTTAAGTGTGACAATTTAAGAAATATAAATACACATATACAATACACCAAATACACCAAATATACTGTACATAGCACAAATAAAATATAAATACACATATACAATACACACAAATACACCAAATATACTGTACATAGCATAAATAAAAAGTGAAACTAGCAAAAAAAGATTGTTGTTATGCTTAATTAGGTACCCATAACAACCAAATAAAAAAACTCCTTCAATAATAGTACAACCCATATATAAATGCACATGAAGAATTTAGTGTATATAGCACAAATAAAAAATTTGCAACCAATGAAAATAGCTTGTTGCTATGCAAAATTAGGTATCCATTGCAACCAAATAAAAAAACTTTACCTTTACAAGAAGCTCAGACTTCATTATAATATTCTTACCAAATTTAGTCAACATAGCACTTATATTAAAATTTGTTATTAGTTTTGCCTTAAAATTTGCTATTTGCATTGTTAACAATAACAAATTTTGGAAGTAAGATTTTAACACTAATTGTGAAAAAACTTTTTAAAATCAGTAATAAATCTGGATTGAGCTTTGTCAAAACATTAAACAGTTATATTATTATTATAAAGCACAAATTAAACAATTGCAAAAATAGTTTATTTAGTAACTTTGAAATTTTATTATTTGAAAAAATCATATATACATATGTATATGTATATTAGGGAATGAAAAATCGACCATTTGCGGTGATCAGATTTCTACATCGATGGTCGGTTATCAGCTAACCGCTGATAACCTTCTACATTGATGGTCAGTTATCAGCTAACCGACAATCACCCAAATCACTGCACACCTCTAACCACTGTCACCGTCAATGCATCACTGCGCACCGCAATCACTGACCGCTTCAGTTAGCTGATAACCGATCATCACCGCAGAAGTCAGATCACCGCAAATGGTCGATTTTTTGTTCCTAATGTATGTATATATATATATATATATATATATATATATATATATATATATATATATATATATATATATATATATATATATATATATATATATAGTGGCGTGCTGGCCCCAGAGACTATGTGGGAATCCCGCTTGAGCCTATCACTATTTATCTTAGAAGGGCCTTTTTTTGAATTTTTATACCCTTTACTGCATTCTGAAAATGATTCACAAATTATATTTATTTGCTTTATTTTTTATTCCACAAGTTAAATTTTTAAAAAATCTCTGATTCGAACTGTTGGACTTGAAGCGCATATATAATAGTATTTTGGATAATAAAATGCAACCATTTGTAACTTTTGCCTCAAAACAAAGTTGATATTGGAAAAAATAATTGATCGTTACATCACATAAATCGCTTATTAAATCAGTCATTATATAGATAAAATTATTTAAGTTAGTCAATGATTATTATGAGAAATAATTGTGTTCAATTTTAATTATGGAAAAATATTCATATTGATAAAATTTTTGTTAAATTAGAACGAGTAATTGTTTTTTCATAAACAAAAATCGCAACGTTTTTAAATATAAACAATTTGTGTAAATTTTTAAAAATTTCTCTAATTGTGTGTTTCTCTAAATTTCTACACATATTTAAAAAGTAGCTAAATAATTTTTCTATATATACAATTAAATAAATAAATAAAGCATTTTATTTCTATTTGAAATTATTTCGGATTCATTCATTTCAGGGACCACAAGTACATTGAAACTAATATTTAACACTATAAACTTTAGCAACCGCTTTTTTTTTGTAAAGAACATAGTTGTAAAATCTGTTTGTTGTAATTATAGCTCTTTTTTTTTAAGATTTAAAAAAATATAAAACCTTAAAAACTGTATACATTTAATTTGAACTTCAAATTGATAAGACCATAAGGACTTCTTGGGGCACGTAAAAAAAAAAAAAATTTATATATATATATATTTAAAATTTATGTGTTAATGTTTTTTAAACAATAAAATAGAAATCCCATTTGATTACCATAAAAACGCAGTGAAACTTATTTATTTTTAGGAATGAAAACATAAAACGTGCTTGCCGCAGCATGGTGCCATTTTTAATTCTTAGGAAATCTAATTATAGCTCATTGCTTTAATATGTTAATTTAACTGGATAAGGTCAGTTTATTATTTATATTTGTGTATATATATATATATATATATATATATATATACAAATGTGGGGTTTCAAATCAAGCATATTTGGCGAAATCCCGCATATATTGGCCTTTTTGAAAAAAACCAGCATGTGCTATTTGGTGCCAGCACATCCCTGTATATATATATATATATATATATATATATACAAATGTGGGGTTATATATATATATATATATATATATATATATATATATATATATATATATATATATATATATATATATAATGAACAAGAAATTATGAAAAAAAAGATTGCTGCCCCAAACCCTTAGGCAATGTAGTGGCACTCTTTTGCAGCAGCAGACTATAAGATAGTTGATGTATATACTGAAGCTTTCGGTAGCAGATTGTTTCAGTGTATTGTCACAGGGCTTAACTAAACACACATACACACACCTATATATATTTTATTTTTGTAAAGGTTTTTATGGTAAAATAATGCTCCTCATTAAATTAAAAAAAAACTTTGATAAAAAAAAATTTTCTTATTTTTTAAATAATCTCTTAAATAATTATTTTTAAATTTAAAGTTTTAATGTAGTTTTATCCACACTTTTTTTGTTAGGATATCAACCAATAGAATCAGGTGCACTATTTAATGATGGCACTATTTAAAGAACAAAAGTAATTGTTGTGTAAATTTTGCATTGCAAAAACTTCTGTTCCTTAGGAATCATTTTGAGCCCATTAAAAGTATAAATACAACTTAAACCCATTTTGAGTATTGAAAAACATTTTATGAATTAATAGTAAAAACTTCATATATGGCACTGTTGTAAGTTTCATTGTTACAAGTTTGTTACATGTTAAATTGTTGAGTTTTTTTATCTAGGTTTTAGAAAAACAAGCATTAAATAAAAATATTTACCTTTTGGTAAGACATAAGTTATATTCCAACTTATATATTCAAATTCATAATCTCGTAAATACATCCCATATGAGCTTAAGTTTATGTTTGCTACTGCAGCTGTCTTCCTAAAATCTTTAAAAAAAAGTAACAATTAAAACTGATATTTCAAACTTTTCCATAAAACCAAAAATCAGAAGTTTGTTGTTAATATGGTTACAGAACTCAAGAAAATAACTTAAGGCTTTTGCTGCATAGATGTCTGCTGTCACCAACTATATTCTTTTTTTTTCTATTATAACAACCTGTGCAGGTGTTTTAAAATAAAACTAAAGAAAATAAAGAAAATAAAAATATTATAAACAAGAGGCACAAATTTTTACTTGCTAACTTTTTACTTGCAGTTTTCTAAAATACAATATGTTAATCTGAAAAGCTTGTGTGGATACTTTAAGTGGAAAACTAATAAACTAATAAACTACATAAATGATACATTTATATGTATTTACTTTATACATATGTTTTACTTCTGTAGTAAAACATATGTAAAAAGTAAATACATTAAAAATCATTGTTACATTGTGTTTAAAGGAAAATATTTTGATTAATATCAAGTGTTTAAAATTTATTGACTTCACTCCGATGCAAGGTATAACAAAACTTTGTTTAGGTAAAAAGTATAAAACCATAATATTATAATTAAAATAAAACCACAATATTATAATGAAAATAAAACCACAATAATTTTCGATAAAATGAAAATTAAAAATGGAATTTCTTATCGTAAAATAGAAAAAATAAATACACAGTTATGACAAAAAAGACTTTATATAACTTTTTGATTTTGTAACAACAGATACAATATTTTCAACACACATGTTGGTTAAAATGAATTTTCTACTTAAAAAAAATAAGTTCCTTTAAAAAATGCTCTTTTAATAGTATTTAATTCATCTATCCATATTTTTGATTCATTTATAAATTTAAAATGTATTATACAAAAAAAAATTTACTTGATAAAACACTTGAAAAATTATCAAATTTGTTGCACCCATTGTAGTTAATAGGATAAACATTTATTCTGAAACTATTATATTCTTCAAACATATACGATTCATCAATAAGATTGTTGCAAACATCTGCTTCAATAACTTGCACTTGGTTATCTGCTACCTAATATAAATCATATTTGTTGGATTACATTTAAAAAGCTATTAAACATAAAAATATTAGTTTTTTTTGTAGGTTTTTGTATTAAGTTATATAACTTTTGTATTGCACAAAAAAAAAGGATTTACCAAAATACTGAGTCTAATTTAATTCGACATTTTGTTCAATGTAATACTTTTGGCATTATTACTCTAATCAATTCCAAATTTTTTTTTATGAAATTCCAGATGAAGCCTATAATCACAAACTTATTATGGGCTTCACTGATTTTTGATGTTGTAAAAACTAATTTATAACTTTCAAAATTGTTCTACACTACAATATATTTTCAAAATTGTTCTACACTACAATACATTTTCAAAAATTATTCTACACTACAACTGAGTCTAATTTAATTCGACATTTTGTTCAATGTAATACTTTTGGCATTATTACTCTAATCAATTCCAAATTTTTTTTTATGAAATTCCAGATGAAGCCTATAATCACAAACTTATTATGGGCTTCACTGATTTTTGATGTTGTAAAAACTAATTTATAACTTTCAAAATTGTTCTACACTACAATATATTTTCAAAATTGTTCTACACTACAATACATTTTCAAAAATTATTCTACACTACAATACATTTTCAAAAATTTTTCTACACTACAATACATTTTCAAAAATTGTTCTACACTACAATACATTTTTAAAATTGTTCTACACTACAATACATTTACAAAATTGTTCTACACTACAATACATTTACAAAAATTATATATACTAGTTGAAATTGTAGTTTATAATTTTATTATTAAAATTATATATAATTATTTTGCTTATATTATTATTATATTTTGATCAACATTTTTATATTTTATTATTTTATATTATGTTTTTATATCTTTTTATAACAAATATATATTATATATTTGTTATAAAACATTTAATTTATTATTATGTTGTTAATAACACTAGCTGACAAAAACCATGAAAATATGGATCTTTGTAAGTCTATTCCACACCAACTTTTTCTAAACTTTTTCCTAATATATCGTAGCTGTCCAGACCCATAAAATACTGGTCTTTGCCAAACCAACCATTACTATACTTATCTATTATGCACCAATCATTTCTATACTTATTCCTTATTTACTTCAGTATTTTTTAGCCAACAGTAGGAAAACAACTAATTAAGAGTTTTCATTCATTAAGAAATTCATTAATTGCTTTAAAAGCAAAAAATTGATCACCTTTTCTGCATACATAGAGCTTATAAGAGATTTATAAAAAAGTTTGTTTTACTCTTACATGCATAACTTCAATAGCTCATTGGCTATGACAGACTATGACAGGAATGTTGTCTGGACCACAAGACGTAGAAGAGTTTAATCGAGATATGACTTTAACAGCAGAAGCTGGAGTGATTTGAATGTCTAACAATGGGTTAACTTGTTTAATTGGAACGGAAGAAAGAGAATGGCCATAAGATTCCAGAGTCGATCAAAAAAAAAGTTTTTTGCAAATAGTTCTGCCTTATCTTTGAGAGAAGTAATAAGATTATTCCCATGAATGAGAGATGGAATGACCTTCCTTAGTTAATGACACTGTTGAAGATTTTCCAAAAGTTTCTAGAGTCTAACTTCTGAAATAAGATACAAGATTCAGTGAACTGAGAATAATGGAGCCCAACATCTGACAGCACTATTTTACATTGGTTTCTTGCAATAATAAATAGCTGTTTATTCACAAGAGAATTGTTCTTTCAAAAAAGATGAAAAAAATTATAACGATTAGATATAGCAGCTGCACAGGAGTGTAAAAACCATGGAGTAGAATGAGGCTTGACTTGGAAACGACAAGAAGGAATAAAAGCTTACATTCCTGCCTGAATCCAGGAGGTTACATAGGAGGCGCATTTTTTAGCTGAGAGAGAAAAGACATCAGCCCAATGACCATCACAAAGAAAATCACAAAAAGAATCCCAGTCAGCTTTAGGGTAGTAGTAAGTAGTGCGATGATAGGGTGAGTAATTATGGGATTAAAGATTTAGAGAGATCATTGCATGGCCAGAACCACCTAAGGTGAAAAAGGAGAAACTGAACACAAGCTAAGATCAGAGACGAGAAATAAATTAAGGAGTTAAGGTAAATGATTAGGGTTGTCAGAAAAACAAGTCACAAAGTTAACTATCTGAGTAAGAGATTGAGAAATGCAGAAGTTATAGGCTTTAGTGCCAGCAGGGTCAGGGTCATTAGAGCCAAGCCATTCAGTGTGATGAGCATTGAAGTTACCAATAACAACAATACTAGCAGAGGGGTAAAGAAAGAGGGCAAGGTCAACTTGATCAGAATTACATCTAAAAATAGTGCAGTCTTGGGAAGAAGGAGAACAACAAAGAACAAAGAGAAAGGTAATAGTGAAGGGGTGCTAAGCAGAAGCACATAAAAGAATGGTCAGAGGCTGATTTCACCTGAACCTGATTTCACAACAAATAGGTGAATTGATGCATATATATAACCACAAGCCACGCATGTGACTATTGGAGTCTTTGCAAATCAAAGATTAGTACCCATCAACACTTAAATTAGAAGAAGTAATAGCAGAATTTAAATTACTCTTACAAAGAACAAGCAAGTCTGGTGAATTTTGCAAGAGGTAAGATTCAACTGATGGAAGGATGCTTTGAAGACGATGAATATTAGTAAAAGTTATATTAAAACAGTTAGGTGGTGGGGAAGGTTTTTTATGTTTAATATTTTGGGTTACTTTTGGGATGTTTTAAGTTTAAAGAAAACTTAACTTATTCATAGATAGAGCACAGCCTCCTAAGCAATAAGCTATGCAATTTTCACAGTCCTGTTAAACAACCCTAAAAGTCATAACATAGGGCTCCTTATGTGGCCTTAACAATGCGCACCAAAAACATTAGCAGGGACATCATCCATGTTAATGTTTCATCATGCACTGTTGATACTCTGATGATTTGCAGTTGTTAATGGAATCAGCCTCTCTGAGAGCTACCACAGAGTTAACGAAACCTTACTACTGGCTAACCTCACAACCATTAAACTGAGTTTTAGAACTCTATCCTCATTAGGACTAAAATAAAGTAACTTATGGGTAAACAACACTGGGCCAGAGGTTCAGACAGAACACAAACATTTAAATAAACATAAACAGACAGAACACAAATAACTTACAGAAAGCAACTTAAGGGTGAGTCACAACCGCGACAGAGGCTCAGACAGAACACAAACATACAGATAGCAACTTATGGGTGAATGAACACTGTACCATAGGTTCAGGCAGAACACAAACATACAGATAGCAACTTATGGGTGAGTCAACACCAAGACAGAACAAAAACATACATAAAGTAGATTACAGGTGAGCTAAGACAGTAACAAAGCCAGCTCTAACTATATAAAATACACACAAAATAAATAAATCATTTATAAGAATTCATCTATTTGTCTATATATATCACTCTCCTTCATCAAGACTGCACTCTTTATGATGTTATTTCTTATCAAATTGACTAAACCCTCTCTCTTTATCCATCAGCCAAAATTGTTGGTGTTGGTGATTTTAATGTACATCACACTAAACAGCTTGGCTCTAGTGTCAGTGACTCTGCAGGTATTAAAGCCACAACTTTTGTTTTTCTCAATCCCTAACTCAAATAGTCAACTTTCCAACTCACTTTCCAGATTATTTACCTTTTCCCAAATTATTTACCTTCTCTATATTCGACATATGTCTCTATATTCGACATATGTCTTGTTTCTGATCCTAGTCAGTAGTCAGTTTCTCCACATTCACACCTTAGGTGCTTCTAATTACAGTTTGATCTCTCTAAAACTACCATCTCAATCTTCTTTATCATCAGAATCCTCCTATTATTGTAACTATTACAACTACCTTAAAGCTGACTGGGACTCTTTCAGTGATTTTTCAGTGATTGACAAACACTCAACCTCTCTTCTTGAATCTAATAGCTTACTTTCTGATCATCAATATGAATATCGATCTTTTTGTTCTACAACTGATTTGCTAACAGCAATAACTGATAGGTTTTCTGGTGCATTAGATAAAGGTGGAGAAGTTTAGGCTACCTCTCTTGATATTTCTAAAGCTTTTGATAAAGTTTGGCATGCTGGTCTTCTCCATAAGCTTTCTTCTTATGGTGAATCTGGTAACATCTTTATGATTATTGAATCCTTCCTTTCCAATCATAGTAAAAAAGTTGTTCTCAATAGACAGCATTCCTCTCCATATCCTATAACTACCTAATGGTTCTATCCTTGGCTCTATACTCTTTTTAATTTACATTAAAAATCTTTCAGATATTCTCACATCTATGGTGGCATTGTTCGCTGATGATACTACCATTTATTCTTGTCATGATAAGAAGCCAATGTTAACACTCTCTGATTGCTTAGCGGGGGCATTTGAGCTTGAAAAGGATCTCACTTCTGCTGCAGCATAGGGCTCACAGTGGCTGGTGAAAACTTTTTTTCAGCTAAAAACTTTTTTTCAGATAAAAATTTTTTTTTTCAGCCAATCTTTATCGCAATAGTTTAAATCTTCCTATATTTATGAGCAGTAATGTACTTGATGAATCATCTACACTTCATCTTTTAAAATTAACTCTTACTTCCAATCTTTCTTGGAAACTGATCCATTGCAAATCCATTGCAAAAATAGCATCTGAAACAAATCCATTGCAAAAATAGCATCTGCTAAGGTTGCATCTCTTTATTGAGCTTGACACTTTCTTACTCCGGATTCTATTCTTTATCTCTATAAATCTCAAATCCGCCGTTGTATGGAAAACTGATGCCATATCTAGGGCCGATCTTCTAATGATACCCTTTCTCTTTTAACAAGGTGCAAAAATGCATTGTAAACATAGTTGAACCTGCTCTTGCAGCCAACCTCAACCCATTATCACATTGTTGTAATGTTGCTTTCTCATTTCTACAAATACGATAATGGGCACTGCTCTAAAGAGCTA